GTGTCCAGAACACCAAGTAATTAACATGTCCCAAAACTGTAGGGTCACAACCATTTTCAATAAAACGCCCAATGATTTCAGCAAAAACAGCAGAAAAACTACAATGAACCAAAATTTTACGAAGTTTGTAAACCACACCGCCATAAAACCCGGGCTGGCATTTGCTTTTAATTTGAATTGCTGTTTAGATGAAAATTGAAGGAACAGTAATCTGTTTCATGACGATACAGGCCATTTCTACGCTGAATTCGCGAACTGGGAAACGCCACAACAACTACATTTCAAACACAAATATAAGACTTTTTCATTTTCTGGAAACTTTAATCAAATCTACATGGCATAGCATTCTCCAAATTTCGATATTTGGTGTAGAGTTTACAAAATATATTAAAACTAAAGCATTTGACTATGGAAAGCCATGGCTGTCTGATATTGTTCTTTTTTAATTTATGTAACCATTTGGATAATATATAAGTTCACTTCGACTATATATGAATTGAAAACACCTTCTTATTTAACCGGAATCCATTATATTAATCCACAGTTACAATATATGAAACCATACCGTCAGTGTATGAAACCGAGTTAGCAATATATAAGTAGATTTTCTCAATATATGATTCAAATTCTTCAATATATGGTACCAAAGTAGCCATGTATGGGATCATATGTCCTTATATGAAACCGAATTATCAATATATTAATTCATTATTTAATATATGAAACTTAAATGTAGCTTAAATTATGACATACAACTCGTACATATATAACGATAAATTTTGCCTGCCCAGCCCATTTTAAGTGAATGTGACGTTAAATTCAAATATTTCCTTATTAAGAAAATGTGCAGTATGCAATCAGTGAAGCACGCTGGTCTTTTGACAGTTGGCGCGAAACTGTAATACTGGTGCAAGGATAAAATACAGCCTTTAAAAAAAGTCCCGTCAATATAATGACATTTTGGTTCCATATATTGGTATTCTGGTATCATATATTGAAGAACTGGTATCATATAATGTGTAAATCAACTTTTATAATACTGCACTTTTGTAACGTCGCTTTTCATTGGATAATCGTGACGTTTATATAGTTTTATATACACGGCTACTGTCGATTCATTAAGAAATCTTCTTTTTTTCTCTAAAAATGATGCGTGCGGTATTATAAATTCGTTATAAAGATTGTTGACAGGATATATGGCCGTATATAAACGGCTGTTTGCAATATAACCCTCGCCTAACGGCTCGGGTTATATTTACAAATAGCCGTTTATATAGGGCCATATAACCTGTCAACGATCTTTATAACTAATATTATAATACTGCACGTTTGTAACGTCGCTTTTCATTGGATAATCGTGACGTTTATATAGTTTTATATACACGTCTTTTGTCGATTCATGAAGAAATCTTACTTTTTTCTCTAAAAAATAATGCTTGCTGTATTATAAATTCGTTATAAAGGTTGTTGACCGGTTATATGGCCCTATATAAACGGCTGTTTGCAATATAACCCTCGCCTAACGGCTCGGGTTATATTTACAAACAACCGTTTATATAGGGCCATATAACATGTCAACAATCTTTATAACTAATAATATATTGCTACTTCGGTTACATACATTGATAAACTGGTTTCATATATTGTAAAGTTGATTTAATATATTGATAATTCGGTTTCATATAAGGGCATCTGGTTCTATACATGACTTACTTGGATCCATATATTGAAGATCTGGTATCATATAATGTGATAATCAACTTATATATTGATAGTACGGCTCCATACATTGATAAAATGGTTTCATATATTGTAAAAATGAATTAATATATTGATAATTCGGTTTCATATAAGGACACCTGGTTCCATACATTGCTACTTTGGTTCCATATATTGAAGATCTGGTATCATATAATGTGATAATCAACTATTATATTGATACTTTTGTTTAATACAATCATGGCTGAAATGGTTTCATATATTGTAAAAATGAATTTATATATTGATAATTCAGTTTCATATCAGGAAATCTTGTTCCATATATGGCTACTTTGGTACCATATATTGAAGAATTGGTATCATATAATGTAATAACCAACTTACATATTTCTACTTTGGTTTCATAAATTGATACATTGGTTTCATATATTGAAAAAATTAGAAAAATGAATTAATATATTGATAATTCGGTTTGATATAAGGACATATGGTTCCATACATGGCTACTTTGGTACCATATATTGAAGACTTGGAATCATATATTGAGAAAATCAACTTATATATTGCTAACTCGGTTTCATACACTGACGGTATGGTTTCATATATTGTAACTGTGAATTAATATAATGGATTCCGGTTAAATAAGAAGGTTTTTTCAATTCATATATAGTCGAAGTGAACTTATATATTATCCAAATGGTTACATAAATTGAAAAAAAACAATATCAGACAGCCATGGCTTTCTCACATATTTGACACTTGATTTTAGCGACATGCACTAGCTCGGAAGTAGCGATAGAGCGATTTACCGCATACCTTCGAAAGAGGTAGCTCTATTATTTACCAGGAGTGGTAAGTATGTGTGTGTAACAGATACAAGTTTATAAAGATCATGGCGGGTAGTCGGTCACAACTGGTAGTCGTTTAAAAAAACTTTTTTTGCTATCAAGTGGCTATGGTGTAACAACGTGCCCGCAGTAAGACTCTTCTGGGGTTACTTCCCCATACACTACGTTACTGTCCGTATTTAAAATAGACAGGGAACAAGGCTAGCAGTAGGATACGAAATCTTTACTCGCAACATGATTAAAATTATTTTACCGACCCTTGATTCTCAGCAAGTAACTTAAATAAACTTCTTAACTGGTCTTGATATTTAAATTACAGCGGAAATTTACGACAGGGCGGATATATTTATACATACATACATCCACCGCAATGACTTGTCTGTTATAAAATAAATAAATAAATAAATAAAATTTTACTAAATAAATAAATTAATTAATAAATTCATTAATAAATAAATAACCATCACAATAACGTGTCTGTTATATAATAAAAACTAAATAAATAAATACACGTAAATAAATAAATGAATAAATTAATAATATAACCATCATAATAACGTGTCTGTTAAAAAAACTAAATAAATAAATACACGTAAATAAATGAATGAATAAATAAATAATATTACCATCACAATAACGGGTCTGTTAAATAATAAAAACTAAATGAATAAATACACGTAAATAAATAAATGAATAAATAAATAACCATCACAATAATGTGTCTATTATATAATAAAAACTAATAAATAAAGACACGTAAATAAATAAATGAATAAATAAATAAATAACCATCGCAATAACGTGTCTGTTATATAATAAAAACTAACTAAATAAATACACGTTAATACATTAATGAATAAATGAATAACCATCATAATAATGTGTCTATTATATAATAAAAATTGAATAAATATATACATGTAAATAAATAAAAGAATGAATAAATAATATAACCATCACAATAACGTGTATGTTATATAATAAAAACTAAATAAATAAATACACGTAAAAAATAAATGAATAAATAAATGATATAACCATCACAATAACGGGTCTGTTAAATAATAAAAACTAAATGAATAAATACACGTAAATAAATAAATGAATAAATAAATAACCATCACAATAATGTGTCTATTATATAATAAAAACTAAATAAATAAATACACGTAAATAAATAAATGAATAAATAAATAACCATCACAATAACGTGTATGTTAAATAATAAAAACTAAATAAATAAAGACACGTAAATAAATATATGAATAAATAAATAAATAACCATCATAATAACGTGTCTGTTATATTATAAATAAATAAATAAACAAATATATGTAAATAAACGAATTATTAATAAAGATAAGCAAATGAATAAATAAATTTTTAATTGATTAATTAATAGATAATATGTATTAATTTGTTTTCTTTTAAATCAATAATTAAACATTAAATAAATGAATAAAGGGTTTATATATAAACACAATTAGATCCATCGCAATAACCTGTTTGCTGTACTATAAATAAATGAATACATGTACATAGATTTATTTAATAAATACCTATGCCCCAAGCTAATATTGTCAACAGAGTCCATTTGTGATTAGTAGAAAGTGAATCTTTAATCCTTCGAAAAACACTCATCATTGTAAAAATAATTGTACTGTATAAACTCTTATCACACACCCGTGCCGATTTTGCGACTCCGTAAATATGGTATTGCACGGAGTGTTAGAAACAGTGAAATTACCACTTTGATAATTTCACTGTTTTGAATTTAAGCTCATCACGTTGTTTCAGTGAAATACCAGCGTGCACAGTACTAGGTACCAACTTAATGACGTGACGTCTTAAATGACGTCACGTTGTATTATTATTTGGCGCGCTTTTCATTCAGTATTAGATTGAATGTCTTTTTAAAACGTTTCTTTGACTTTGCATGTAATAAAAAGAAAATTTGTTTAGTTTAGTGTAAGATCGAAATACATTTCACCTTGTGAACACCAGTATTCATATTTCACTCGTGGCTGAGCCACTCGTGAAATATACCTTTTGGTGCTCACTCGGTGAAATATATAGAGAATAACATGCTACTGTCTTTTGATATCAATTTTATCAGGCGAGGTTGATATGGGCTAGAAAGGGCGAGGCTTGCCGAGCCCTTTCTGCCCATATCAGCCTGATAAAATTGATATCAAAAGACAGTAGCATGTTTTTCTATTTATCATGTAACACATAATAACTGTCAAAATAACAAAATAATCTACCTTTAAACAGCGAATTTCGTTAAAAAGGGGGATTTTTGTTCAAAGAAATAATTCTTGAAAACAAATTCCTCCGCCCCTGAAACTTAGAATTTGTAATTGGCGGCCATTTTTCTTTCGACTCGGATAAAAGATACAACAGAATGTAGGCCTAATACGATAACATTCTTACCTTTAATTTAAACATCGATACAAAAATCCGCTTAGAATCACATAAACTAAACTTTACTGCAATTTTTGTCTTGAATTGTCAAATTCAAAAATTCAAAAGTTCACGATAATTTCAATCAAAGAAAAGTCAAATCGGCAATCAAACACAAGCTACACAAACATGCGTCTTATTTTTTAAACGAAACAATTTGTTCACTTATTAAATAATAATCCGGCGAAATAAAGTAAACATTTACAAGTTCTCAAAGAAAATTGTCTAGCCTGTTTGTTATGATTACATGTATAGTATGACGTGAACATCGATGATGTCATTTGCAATATATATAAATTATGACGTCACTTCAAACTATTCGCTATCTAATTTATTCGTAATTGAAATCGAAATAATAAATAAATAAATTTCGCATATTGATTCAAGATTTGTAAGGGTATGAGATTACATTGTAGAATTCACATGCTGATGAAAATGAGAATATAAGCAATTGAAAAAAGTCCGTTAGAATGGGCGGGGCTAATTTTTGATATCAGGCAAGTGTTATCGGGCAGTTACCATAGCAGTTGCATGATAAATTCCGATCTTACACTGAACTAAACAAATATCTTCTATATAATTAAAAAATAAAATTAGTAAATATATGAATACATAAATTAATTAATAAATTTATAAATAAATAAAAAATTGATTAATTGATTGATTTATTTATTTTTTATTATTTATTTATTTATTTAATAACTGCCCTCTGCTCCAACAACGTCGCGCTCCTCTCTGGCGTACACACCCCTGTCTCCATTGACATCTCTAATTAACAATATAAATCGTCAATCTCCACACAGTGATCTCCCCTTATTTCTTCGGCGTAGATCTCTGCCACCAAGGTCCCAATATATCAGAATTTCTGATATATTATATTTTTTCAAAAATTGTTTTATTTACTGCTTTTATCTATCAGTTAAGTTTTTTCTCATTGATTAAACAATGTTTATGGATAAATAAATAAATAATATGAATATTTAGAAATAATTTAAAAAAATATGAGAATATTTTCTACCGAGACGATATTTTGATATTATTTATTTTTTAGCTTTTGAATTTATTTTTCGTTATTTTGTATACTTTTGATAATTTTTTGATAAACTATATCGATCGTAGGCACTAAAAGTTAAAAATAAAACAGAAAGAGAAAAATGACGTTAGATTTTCTATGTAACGGTCGATATTTACATTTGAATTTCGACGTTACGTCATGTGACTTTCATCATCATGTGACGTCTTTGAAGGCAGTGATTACAATTCTGCCAAGGGAGGTAATCACTGTGAGGAGTTTGATAAATCGTAGCGACGCTTGTTTTTTTTCAAATGTTCTATAAACGTTTTGAAACAACGTTGACATCATTTTCGTATTATAAAGAAGCGCGCCAAAATAAGGACAATTTTGTAGTATTTCAAAATGGTAAGTTATAACTTTTTTAAGCTGCGGCGTTTGTACGGCATAGGGTTGCTATGGCGATAAATATAATATACAAAATGATAAAAAAAATTAAAAATCACAATTTATCACACACCCGTGCCGATTTTGCGACTCCGTAAATATGGTATTGCACGGCCGTGCATATATTTTGACGTGACGTCATTAGCGTTATACAAACATAGTGTAAAGACGCGCTAAATGTTGGCGTTATACTATAGGCGCGTCAAAGAAAAATGACTCTTAGTTCACTTTAAACGGTCTTTATTTTGGGTATGTGATAAATAGAATATTAAATTCGTGTAAGGTCATAACTGAATTTACTGCACTCGTTGACTAAAATAATATTATGCTCGCCAGAGGCTCGCATAATATAATTTTATTCAATTCGTGCAATAAATTCAGTATTGAACTTACACTCATTCAATATCGTCTATATATTCGTTATTGTTCTAAATTCTTCTCCTAAATAGCGAAAATACTATAATATAATATCTTAATTAATTATTAAGTTATTAATAGTTTCCACGAATATATTGATCAACCCTCGTACGTACGTACGTACGTACGTACATACATACATACATATACATACATACATACATACATACATACATACATACATACATGCATGCATGCATACATACATACATACATAACCAATACAATAACATGTCTGTTATAAAATAAAAACTAAATAAATAAACACATGTAAAAGAATAACAAAATACATGTTAATAAATGAATTAATAATAAAAACTAAATAAGTAAGTAATTTTTCAATTCATTTTTTAAAATTAATAATATGTATCTATTTATTTTGAAACAATCAATCAATAGATATATTAATAAAGGTTTGATATATAAACAAAAGTTAATCCTCCGCAATTACTGTCTTGCTATATGATAAATAAATAAATGAAAAAAGTTCATGTAAATTGACTTATTTGATAAATACCTATGCCACAAGCGGTTATCAATAGAGTCCATTTCTTTGTAGTAAGTGAATCTTTAATCTTTCGAAAAACATTCATATTTTGTATATACATGTACTGTATAAATTCTCCTGCCTCCAATTTATATCGCGGTTTATTTGTAAAGAAAAAAATATTGATTGATTTTTCCCTATTTAAACAGCTTTGAATGCATGTACCAACGACCGCGGCATACTTTAATTGGACCTTTCCTGTTTTTCGTAGCGGAACATTTAGCCACACTTTTTCCATTCATTGCTAGGTACAAAGTATCACACAGCGTGCAAACCAGGTCAACCAGTGACTATGTCAATCTCCTACACAGTGATCTCCCCTTACAGGATTAGCTGTAGCGTAACCGGTGCGCGGAGTTTGTGACTATGTATTATCTCAGTGTAGCAATTGGATAACATGTTAGTCAATTTATATAAAACTGTAAATACCGGAAAGGTCCCAATGACCCTATGATATTAGGGGTGTCACGTTTATCCGTTTTAAAACGGTTACTGTCGATTTAGCTAAATACCGTTAAGAAAATTCAATACCCGGTAACCGAGGTTAGGTGTTGTATGTTAGTGTTACTCAACAATGTATTTTTCCGATTTGATCGATTGCGCTGCGGTCCTAAAGGAAAATAGTTGCTCTATACTCGCTGTTATCATTTTAAGTCAAATACATGTATTTCATATTTTGTCATAAAGACACGATGTGAATGTTGAAAATGCTAAGGAGTTTATTAGTACGATCGATAATACGTTTAACGTTTTATTTAGGTCGCCGTTTAATTGGATATCATTTTTGTAACGGTGACAAACCTACATAATATAAGTTTACTTTTTAAAGTTCAACTGCAAAAGACGCAATTTAAACATTAAATTTGCAACTTTACTGTTCTATCTGCGAATTAAAACATTACTTTAACGGTAAAATTTGCATTTTTTAAAAGTAAAGCAAATCTTTTTATGCATCAGAAATGCTTTAATATTTATTTCTCAAAGGCTTTTTAATTTTGGTGTACTTTTATAGTACACAAAAAAATACTCATTAGCCAATTTTTTCTTTTGTTGTTTCTGGCAATAATGATAATATCTGCCATATGTTGCGGCTCGGATCGGAATATCCGTCCAAAGTTATTTTTTGTGTTGGTCCAAAAAGGAGGTTGGGACAATGTTATATGCACGAATAAGTGGGCCAGCATCATTCTACTTTACGGTAGGGAAATCACTCAAAATGTGTCTTCTCGTAAAAGAAAACCCACGAGGTCATATTTGGTAAAAGTTCTAGCAACGTCATTTCAGGTTATTTCTTATCGAAACTGCACCCAACATGATGAGAAAAATGTTCTATGTGGCATGACATTTCTTCGATTTTTGAAAAACAAGCATGATATTTTGAAATTGATATTTTTACTAAAATGTCTTACCTTTTTCAGCCTTGTTTTCATCGAGGGCTCTGCAATGGAAGTGCCAATGGCTCTCATTTAAACAGATCACCAAAATGTGAAAGAGCCACCGTTTAGTAGGCCTGTAAGCATTTCATTTTATAGCACGCGACTAATCTGACACCCCTCTCCCTCCCTATGCCAGATGATATACAAGAAACACAATTATAGTGCATATTGTATTACATATTGACCAACCCTACTTAAGGCAAGTTTATTCAATTCAGGTGCCCGCTCGTGTCTGAAATAATGCACGAATGGCCTTGGGTCTTTTTTCATTGTTTCACTCTGAACAGGTAGATTTTCTTTATTTTAAACTGATTATAAACGTTTTTTGTTATGTTTTTCTCTCCTCTATTTCTGAAAAAAGTACGTAGACTACAAAAGATACGTGAACATTTATTTTGCATTCTTTTTAATAACCTATCAGATAAATGCTTATAAAATTCACATATTCGTTATAATATTTTGTAAAACAGTCCTTTGTTTTTTGTTTCTTTCTTCTTTTTGTTTCTTTCTTTTTTTCTTTTTGTTCGACTATATGCTATCTAAATCATCCCGGCGTCAGCGTTTAACAAGCATGTAGATATATATACCAATAAACCCAATATAAAAAGCAAATGAAACAATGAACACAAAAACATATTAACATGAAAATTGCCGATTTCTGTTCATGAGAGATAATGCAATCTGCAACATTTCTTAAGCTCCCTAGCGCCGCATAAAGCTGCATTCAATCTTCAACATTAACGTGTTGCAATTAATGACTGGAAAAAATATAACAAAATTTAAGTGACAAATAGGGGAATATTTTACAACTGCTACATGACACGTGACACCTGCTGTTGTGAAGAATACAAGTCTCCAAAAAGGTTGATCCCTTGGACGCAAAAAAAGAAACAGCAAACCATACTACTTAAATTATTTGCAAAGTGAGTAAAGTTTTGTTTTGACCCTGTACATATTGAACGTACGTATAATTCAATTATTATTACGTTTATGTTTGCTTGCTTAGTGAATAGCCAGTTACTTTATTCGATTGGATATTTATATTTTCCACATTTTCAAGCTTGTGTAAATTCTTCTGTAAATTTGTACTTGTGTGTAAAGCAATAAATCTGATTATGTTTTAAATTTTGAAAGTAAATAGTTCCAAAATAACTGTATGGAAGACGTTTATTGAATATGTCCCTAAGAGCGAATGTCTCCTGTCAAAATTCATTTCTAACCGGTTTGATTAACTACAATTGAACATAAACTAATTAATAAATCGTTGTTGTTGCTTCTCGTAATGGCGATGTACTTTCATCAATGTACTAGCAAACCAGCTCCGAAATGGCATTCTTTCTGGGGTTTCAATGGTTGTGTTTGTTTATTTGTTTGTTTGTTTGTTTCATTTTACGCCTTTTCCCAACAGTATTTCAGTCTTATAGGCGGGTAGTTTCCTTACCATCGTTCCTGGTGAGATTCACCAGTACTAGACTACCATCCTCCGTGCTAAACTACCAAAGAATCTCCCGGGGATCGAACCCACGCCAGAGAGGTAACTGGATTAGAAGTCATCGACTCTTACCCCTCGACCATGGAGGCGGTTTCAATGGCTGTAAGTATAATGTCAAATTTAGAATAATTTATATACAAACTAGTGTAGTATTTGGTGTTTCTGTCAAGGGAGATAATTGATAACTTTATTGAGTTACTCCCCTTGGTGTCAAACTTTGGAGATTCACTTCATGGAAAATGCTTGTGTTACACACTCAATGACACAGTTTAAAGCATCGTCTCCCAATCACTTACCATTGACCTCTCATTATTATTAATCATGTATATTTTTCACATGATCAAAGTTGATGTAGGAATTTATTTAATTATATGTGAATTCATATAAAAGTAATAAGATAAAAGACCTATTATGCCTGAGAAATGCATTTTTTTTATTTCTCAGAAACTTTCTTTGTTTGGAACCTTGTCATAGTTTTCAAAGAAATACTCATCCGCCATATACATAAACTTTATACAATAGTTTGCTTATTTCGTTCTGTTTGCAAATGTTATATTGTATTGCGTGTTTTGGCTGAATGCCAAGAACTACGTTAGAATAAAAGCAAACAATACAGGAAAACAGATATAGCTCACACAAAACAAGGGCTTTTTTATATTAAAGATATTTAAACCTTAAAATATATCATTCTTACACGATACGATACGAACTCGAAGGCAATTTATCTGCCGTATTTTATCTAAATAAAGACCGTTATTTTATATCACAGTAAACTTGATACATATGTTTTAGATATACAAGTAAATTAATTTATATCTATGAATGGGTATAAATTCAGCTTGTGCTTTTTTAGTTTCTTCTTTTTCTTCTTCCTCTTCGTCTTCCTCGCCATTTAAAGAAAGATATTGTTTTAAAATACATTTGTTTTACATTGACATTGAATTTAAATGTACACAAATATGTCCTTATAACAAAAACGATAGAGTAAGTGAGATATATTTGAAGTTTTTATATGCAAAAGTTAAAAAAATGACAATAACATTTGTATTGTATTTCCACATGGCAATTTTGACTATTGCATTAACTCAAGTGCACAATACTTTCCTAGTTTCGTGGAGTCTCATTTTCATTTTTCAAAGACACTTGAATAAGTTATAGCATTTAAAATTGACTGTTTCATTGTTCTTTATATATGATATATTTTTTTAATAAAATTCTCTATCTAAAGAAGTTTTTTTTTGTTATTGTTCGAGGTTGTTTTCCTTAAAAAATTCGTTTCAGTTTTGGCACGGGTCAACAATTTAGGTCCTTTGTAACACTGCTCATAAGTTTGATTCATACCGGGAAAAGCGAGTGTCCCGTTTTCCCTGGATCTGGCTGGGTGTAAGTTTCTGTTAGGTTTAATTGCGTCGTCCAACCTTTGCGCGTTGCTTTCGGCATTTGTGGCAGCCTCCTTAGCTGTTTCAAATTTTGTTTGAGAATCTCTTTCCTTTGCTTTGAAGTCTTCAACTAACGACACATGGATACGTTTTAAATGTTCTGTTAAATCCACAACACCCGGGAAAATGTCAGCAATACCGTTATCAATTGCACTTATTTCGTCCTTGATGCAATTTATTTCTTCTGTGGTATCTTTAATCTCATTTTGAATTTTCAATAGACAAGATATATTTGTAGACTGTTTAATTTTCTGTTCAAGGGCCTTTATATCTGTTTTATTTCGCTTCTTCAATGTTTGTATTTTGAGAAAAATATCATACTGTGTTCTTTCAACATGCCCTATCACATCCTTCAGATGTTTCTCAAAGTCCTTTAAGCGACGTAACATTCCGTTGTTAATGTCATATTGTTCACTGACGTGAAGGATTTTTGAAAATATATCATCCTGAAAACACTGCACCTCCGTTTTAGTTTTTTCAAGACATGTTTCCTTATACTCTTCTATCCTCGCTACACCTTTACATAATCTATGCGTGTGATATAGGCAAAGACTACAACACAACACATTATGAATGACACAGAAGAATTCGAACAGCCGGTTTTCGTGAAGTGAACAAACATCGTCTTCTTTGTGTAGTAAATCAAGTAAATCTACGATATCTCTATTTTTAGGGAATGCTTCCAACCATTTCGATTTTGGAAGGTCAATAAAATATGAAACAGATTTGTCCGAGGGTGTCTTGCACATTGGACACGTAATTTGATAAAACGGGTTACTAAGCAATGCCTCGATGATGCCAAGTAAACATTTATCACAAAATGTGTGAAGACACGGAATAAAGTATCTCGGATTTATATAAACGTATGTACAAATTGGACATGTTAATTGATATTCACAATTTTTTCCGTTTATTACTGGTTTTAATCCAGACATGATTCTAATAATAATACTATTCCAATTGAGACAAAACACGAAATAATAATGAATAATAAAATAATGACATCTCAAGATACTGTCCGTTGCAAATTCAATAATTTTATCCAATATTTATATCGTATAACTCTTATTTTATACTAAAGCTATTTGTGTGAGATCATATTATGGCATGTTAATCGTTGCAAAATTCTATAAACTTTTTTTCTTTTGGACTATATCCAATATTTATATTGTATCACTCTAATTTCAAATTCTATAACATAATTTTTATTCAATCCTACTGAATATTTGTTAATCATAAAATATATTTGTGTGAGATAATTTTCTTTATGTATAATCTATATTTGAAAATATAATTGTATTATTAAAAATATTTACTGTATACTTAAAAATGTTTATTCATGGGATAGAATCAAAATTTTCATTCTAATCTCCGTCTATTAATTAAGCACGAATGTCTGATAAAGCGTTATCATCCTGATTTAACTAGACTATGGTGTAGTGGAAATGACCAGTGTCCCTGTGAATGTCACTGGTAAATAGTGCATATGCTTATTCCTCCTTATAAATATATATGTATGTCTAAAAATAGAAATGGATTTTAAAGTTTTCGGGAAATTGCAATCGTATAATAATGTTTTTTCATATAATTTAACCACCACATGAACATATGTGAGGATATCATGTAATATGACTATAAAGGATCATCTAAATGGCCATAAACTCTTGTTCATATGAAAGATATACACAATGTATGTTGAATGACACATGAGGACCAATAAATCATCTTCATGAACATATACTCTAGTTTTTTTATGTAAGATGTATGATGGCATAAAATAAGATTAGCAGGGGATCATCTAGATGTGCCTATACATAAGTTGTTATGGAACATATATGAGGGTCACCTTAGATGACCAGGAGGTCTTTTAGATGCATAAACACTCTAGTTCTTATAAAACAAATATAAGGTGATTAGGTAAGATGAGGGGATAAGGCAATGTGTTTTGGATGATCACTCTAAAATATAATATTCTCCTAGATTAATTATGTTACTTCAGAAATAAAATGATGAACAGCTATATCATCTTGTATGAACCATTCATACATATTCTAGAAAAAAAGTATGATCCTCTGGTCATCTAACGTGATCTCCTAAATAAGTTCAATGTGAACTAAAGTATATAAACAACCTTGGAGTCTTCCATGAACCATTCATACATAATTCTAAAATGAATAGAACATGTACATCTAGATAACACCCTGGTCATCTTACCTGATTGCCTTATACATGTTATTTAAATTTTAAGTATTTTAACATTTAGCTGATCCGCTAGAAAAACTTTGCGTGATCTATATATACATGATTGAACAGAACTAAAGAATATGTATATTAAATGATCCATAATCCGCGTATGTGACCCCTCTATAAATGTTCTATAAAAATAGAGTACAGAAACATTTTTATGATCATTTGGTCTTTTTAAGTGATTCCCTCATACATGTCCCATAATAAATATAGTTTATGTACATCTAGAAGGTTCTCTGGTCACCTTACTAGCCACATCTTACGTGATCTGATCACATCTTTTCAAAAAATAAAAAGAGTACATATACATCTAGATGATTTAACATGATGACCTCATGCAAGTTCCAAAATAAATAGAACGTATTAACATCTAGAGGACCCCTAGTCTTATTATATGATCCCCTTATACAAGTTCAACGATAAATAGAGTATATCTACTTGATCACCTAGCCGTCTTACGCAATCCCCTTATACATGTACCATAATGGAAAGAGAACTAGAATATGTATATAAAGATAATTCACTGGACATTATTTATAATCCCTTGATATTATGTTCTATAAGAACGAGAGAAAATGTACACTAAGATGATCATAAGTTCGATTTTCAAGATCCCCTAAAATCATAATTATTCGTGGGACACTCATTTCCGTGTTTTCGTAGACAGATGAACATGGAGATGATCCCTTGGTCGTCTAACGTGATCTCTAATACATGTTCATAAAAAAAGGGTATATATAAATCTAGATTCCTTGGTTATTTAGCCTGATCCCGACATATCATTTTCCGTAAAGTGTATGTACATCTAATGGTCTCCTAATAGTCTTACGTGATTCCCTTCATTCATACTCTATAATAAATAGAATATATGTTCATCGACATGGTCCCTTGATTGTCTTACGTGATCCTCATACAAACTCTGTATTATACACCCGAACAGTTGCAAAAGATATTTCGTTGTTCAACAAATATTACAAGCATCATTGCAAACATTTACTGAAGATTTTCCTAGTTTTGCCCGAGCCTTTATGTAAGCCCATATTTCAGCTCTTTTAACTGACAGTTCACCGGTCATATTTTACATATAGTTACTCGTATAAGGTTTTTTTAAATGTGAATAAAATTCTTAATGGGTTGACTTATACGGTTGGTATCATTTGAAAGCAGATGCTTTGAAGCCTAGCATAGTTTACCCAAGAACAAGAATCACGAGCTTAATAAGAAAATAAAGTTCATATTACATTACATATTGACCAACCCTACTCAATGCAAGTTTGTTCAACTCAGGTCTGAAATAATGCACGGACGGCCTAGGGTCTTTCTTCATTGTTTCTCTCGGAGCAGGTGGATTTTCTTTTCTTTATTTTAAACCGATTAAAAACGTTATACATGTATTTAATCTGAAAAAAGAAAAACGTTTTAAAGATAGGTGAATATTTATTTTGCAATTTCTGTAATAACCTGTCAGATAAATGTTTATAAAGATATAATATTCCAACGCTCTCCAGATCGAATTCTGCAGGCAATCTCGTTTCCTTTATTTTTATCTTGTTTTTAACACAATACGAAATTTCGTCAGTTTATTTATGTTCTATTTTGAAGTTTTGTAAAACAGTCCTTTGTTTGTGTGTTTGTTTTCTTTCTTTTTGCCTGACTATATGCCATGTAAATCATCCTGAGGTCAGCGTATAACAAGCATATATATACCAGTAAACCAGATATAAAAAAAAACAGCAAATAAAACAATGAACACAAAAACATGTTAACATGAAAAAGGCCGATTTAATTCTGTTTATTAGAGATAATGCAATGTGCAACATCTCTTACGCTCCCTAGCGCCGCATTAAGCTGCATTCAATCTTCAACATTAACGTGTATAAAATATAACAAAATTTAAGTAAAGTATAGGGGAACATTTTACAACTGCAACATGACACGTGACACCTGCTGTTGTGAAGAATACAAGTCTCGAAAAAGGGTGATTCCTTGGAAGAAAAACCCAGCTAAACATACTACTTTCATTAGTTTTGCTTTGACCATGTACATATTGAACGCACGTATAATTCAATTATTATTCCGTTTATGTTTGCTTACAATATGAATAGACAGTTGCCTTATTCGATTGGATATCTATATTTTCCATCATTTCAAGCATGTGTAAAATTCCCCTAAAGTGTGTAAAGCAATACATCTGATTTTTATAATGTGTGAAAGTAAAAAGTTCCAAAATAACTTTATGGAAGACGTATGCTTGAATATGTCCCTAAGAGCGAATGTCTCCTGCCAAAATTCATTTCTAACCGGTTTGATTAACTTAGTTTATAGCTTGCAACACAAACGGACTAAAATAAATTGATATAAACTAATTATCAAATCGTTATCGTTGTTTTTCATAATGATGATGTACTTTCATCAATGTACTAGTAAACAAGCTCCGAAATGGCATTCTTTCTGGGGTTTTAATGGCTGTGTTTGTTTGTTTGTTTGTTTCATTTTACGCCTTTTCCCAACAGTATTTCAGTCTTATAGGCGGGTAGTTTCCTAACCATCGTTCCTGGTGAGATACGCCAGTACTAGAATACCATCCTCCGTGCTAAACTACCAAAGAATCTCCCGGGGATCGAACCCACGCCAGAGAGGTAACTGGATTAGAAGTCATCGACTCTAACCCCTCGACCACGGAGGCGGTTTCAATGGCTGTAAGTATAATGTCAAATTTAGAATAATTTATATACAAACTAGTGTAGTATTTGGTGTTTCTGTCAAGGGAGATAAATGATAACTTTAAAGAATATAGAATGTTTATTGAGTTACTCCCCTTGGTGTTTAATTGACAAACTTGCGAGATTCACTTCATGGAAAATGCTTGTGTTATACACACTCAATGACACAGTTTAAAGCATCGTCTCCCAATCACTTACCATTGACTTCTCATTATTATTAATCATGTATATTTTTCACATGATCAAAGTGATGTTAGAATTTATTAAATTATATTTGAAATCATATAAAAGTAAGAAGATAAACGATCCATTATGCCTGAGAAATGCAGTATATTTTTTTCTCAGAAACTTTTTTTCTTTGGTACCTTGTCGAAATACTCATTTGCCATATACATAAACTATCTTTTGCTTATTTTGTTCTGTTTGCCAATGTGATTTTGTATTGCGTGTTTTGGCTAAATGCCAAGAATTACGTTAGAATAAATTTTATTGAAGTCAATAAATGCAAACAATACAGGAAAACAAATATAGCTTTCACAAAACAGAGGATTTTCTATAGCATAAATATTTAAACCCTAAACTATACAAATCTTATAGTCTGCATGATACGATTTATCTGCAATATTTTATCTTAATAAAGACCGTAATTTAATATGACAGAAAACTTGATGCATATTTTTTGTACAATATACAAGTAAATTAATTTATATCTATGAATGGGTATACATGCATCTTCTGCTTTTTGACCTTCTTCTTCTTCTTCTTCTTCTTCCTCGTCA